TATTAATAATATTCATTGTATTGAATTTTTATTCCGTACCATTGGCAACAGAATGACCTGCTGATTTCTCCACTTTGCCAGCATGGAGATTTTTCTAACTTCATCCTTTCTACTGACAACATAGACTTTGGGGTATACAGCTTTAAGTGGGGTCTCAGGTTCAGCTATGACACTTGGTCAGGTCCAAATCTTATTCCTCACTGGGGCTCTTAACCAGAAAAATCTGTTTCTGTTCTGAGCATATTTCTAGAGCAGCTCAAGCTTCTGTGTCTGCTCACCACTCATGTTTCAGCTCTATGTGTTTTCTTTTTTTTTTAATGTCTTCCTTTATTTTCTTTTGACTTAAATATGAATTTAAAAGGCATTTTATAATAATTTATCCAGCATTAGGGTATTTCATCTAGTCTTATTTAACTGCTAGACATGGAGATGCCATAGTGTCTATTTTTTAATTCTTTTTCTATTTTTTATTATGTTATGTTAATCACCACACATTACATCATTAGTTTTTGATGTAGTGTTCCATGATTCATTGTTTGCATATAACACCCAGTGCTCCATGCAGAGCGTGCCCTCTTTAATACCCATCACCAGGCTAACCCATCCTCCCACCTCTGTATCAACTTTATTTGTAAATTTTACGGTGAAACCTCCGACATGCATTTGGAATTTTTTTTTCTTGGCTAGTTTTAAATAAATTTTTACTTTTTATCAAAGTAATGAATGCACTTTGTTTTAATAGTTATATCATGCTAAAAGTAAAAATAAAAAACAACAGTGTCTTTTTCTCTCCCTTCCTCTACCTCAAGCCCTGCTCTCCACAAGCAACCATTTACAACTCTTTTAGCTATTCATTGTCATCTTTATCTCTAGACTTTTAAATAATAGGCTTTATTCAATATTTCTTGATTTACCAGTTTTACATATTATATATTGTGCTCTTAAAAGAAAGCTGAGAGTTTTGCCTTTACCACTTTTCTTCTCTTCCTAACATAGCTATACCACAATATTTGGTTAAATCAATGTTCAGTCGTCTCACCATTATGACTAGGTAGATATTGTTCATTGTTGTGTTGAGCAGTATATGCCACATTTTCTTGTACAACTTTTTGTTCTTCATACAAGCAATATTTTTCTAACATTTTTACTAACTTGGTTTCCTGTATATCTGAATCTCTCATGCCTCTTTCCTACATGAACAAAACCATCGATCATTTTCATCTATCCCCTGCAGACCTCACACTCCGAATCCTCCCATCTTGTATTGGATTTTCCGACTTGCTACCCAGCTATCATCAGGGTCATGCACTTGTACTGGGACCCCATTTCTCGGATTCTAAGCTTTCTCTTTTCTTGTTCATTTTTCCCTCTAGTGGTTTCCTGACAAAGTGTGTGAGGGAAATTGATTTTTTGAGACCTTTCGTGTCTGAAAATAGTTTTATTCCACCCTCACTCATGATCAATTGTCAATGTAGAGAATTTTAGGTTGGACATCATTTTCAAGTAGAATTTCAAAACATTCTTCACTGGAGTCATGGCTTCCAGGGTAGTTGAGAAGTCTAGAGCCGTTCTGATTTCCCCATCACTGAATGGGTGTTGTCTTTTCTTCTGACACTTTAAGGGTTCTCTTTTTCTCCATGGTTCTCTGAAATAAACTGAGCACATGCTCTGCTGTGATTCTTTTTCATTTATTACTCATAGTTCTTGATGGCCTCTCTCAATTTAGAAGCTCAGTCCTTTAGTTCCAAGTAGTACTAGAAGATATGTTTATAAAATAATTTCTTCATCATTTCTCCTTTCTCTCTTTCTGAAAGATTTACTTAAGGTTGCTCTTCTTGGACTAAGCCTCTAATTTTCTAATCCTTTCTTTTATCCATCTTTTTGAACTTTGTTCAATTGTTAGGGAGTTCTGGTTTTTGTGGGGTTTTTTTGAAGCTTATTTTCCAACCCAGCCATTGAAGTTATTTTGGAAGTTATTTTAGGACTTATTTTTTTCATTCTGAGAGCCCATTCTTGTGCTCTGCTGTTTACTTTTAACGATACTGTATTCATGTTTCGAATATGTAGTATTTTTGTTACTTCTAAGGGCATTAATCATAGGTAGTGTTTTTTTTTTAGATTTTATTTATTTGTCAGAGAGAACACAAAGCAGGAGGAGCGGCAGGCAGAGAGGGAGGAGCAGACTCTCTGCTGAGCAGGGAGCCCGATGTGGGACTCGATCCCAGGACCCTGGGTTCATGACCTGAGCCAAAGGCAGACGCTTAACCGACTGAGCCACCCAGGCATCCCTGGTTGTTTCTTTTTTTTTTAAGTTTTCTTCAGCTTCCTTTATTGTCTATTTCTCAAGTGCCATTTTTTTGCTTCTTTCTTTGAGTCTTTGTCTTTCATGTTGGAGAGTTTTTTAATGTATGGTGATTTTTAAAATTCTGCTCATCTTTAAGAGTAAGGCCCTAAAAATATTTGGAGGCTCTGTGTGTGTGTGTGTGTGTGTGTGTGTGTGTGTATTTCACTCCAGGGTGGATGGGTAGTAAGCATTCTTTTGTGGGAAACACTCAAGTATCTGCAGGTCTTTTCTCTAGAACTCTTCGGCTACCCTAGAGAAGGACCCAACAACCAGAGATGGCTACCTAATTTGTAGGGCCTAGTGCAAAATGAAAAAGGTCCCTTGTTCAAAAGTCTGGAAGAAGTTCAGTTAGAGGTACTAACACATACATTTTTTTCTTTAAAAGTATCTTATTACTTAAAACATGTAGTAGAGGTGGTAGTAATACATACATAATATAATCTTATAAATTGCAAAAAAATAACACTTTTGATGTCATAATTTCATGCAATACAATAAATTTTAATGCTTTATTGTTATGATTTCTTGATTGATCAACAGATTTTTCTGGTTTGCTTCTCTGCAAATTCACTTATTAGGTCATGAGAATTTATATTTTTAGCAATTTCATTTTCAATCTATATAATTGAAAGTGATGTCCATTGTTCTTGGCAAATGCAAGATCTCAAATAATCTCAACTGGAGAGAACAACACGGGCAAAGACCAAAAGGAGGGAGGGGAGAAGAACAGTAAAATGAAAGAATGAACAAGTCAGGTAGGTACGACCTCCCTCAAGAAGAAACTTACATGTCAGGCAAAGAAGCTTTATCTAGCTTATAGCCCATTGATTTTAAACTGTAGGAAAGTGGGAAAAGGAAAGATATACTTACTGACTACATATTATTGACAAGCATAGTTGCTTTACAAATGTAACTACCATTTAATAGCCTCACAAAAACACAAGTCATGTCCCCATCTTAGAAATGGAGGCTTAGCGAGAAGGAACTTTGCATTGGTCACACAGCCAGAAAGTTGCAGAACTGGGATATGAATGCTGATCCAAGAACTCACATTCTTTCAGTTACATGAATGGTGGTGTATTATTATAGCAATGGTACCTTAACTTACTGCTCTGCCTAACTAGGATGGAAAGGAAAAAGACTTGAACCAAAAATCCAATCAATGAGCTGAAAAAAAATGACAGAAGAAAAATAGAAAAGAGAAAAATGCTTCAAGAGACACTGCAGAAGTAGATTCAATTGGACCTAGTAACTTGCTGGATGCAGGCTAGTAGAAGATGATAGAAATTATATATTTCTTAGCAATCATGAGCGTGACTCAGGGTAATTCCACCAACAGGTAATGAAAAAAAGATACAAAAGATCAAAGTTTGATGACAAGGTGATTGAGTGTTGAGCTAGAAATCATCCAGTAGAAATGTCTGGTGGGCATAGTGAGGCGTGGGTCTAGAATGGGACACAGGTCAGTGTTAAAGATGTATATGTAGAAACGATTCACCTACAGTCACAGTGACAAGAAGGGATGACAGGACCAAAGGAGAATGTGTAGAAAACAAGAGTGTGAATCACAAAACTATAAGGAATGACAAGATCTAGAGCACAGATGCACCGAATGTAAGAAAGAAGAGGAGGAAACAGAAATATTCTAATAGAAGTATTTTTAGAAGGCAATTGTTCAGAATTCAGTAAGCCTGGTCAGTATCAAATGTGTCCAAGAGGGTGTAGGAGAATAAACATGAGAAATAAAGACTGGATTGGATGTGGAATAATTAGCAATCTGAGAGTTAATTTCAATAAAGTGCTGGGACCACAATTCAGGAGTGAGTAGGATGGGAAGTGAACGCAGAAAATTTTTCTAGAAATAATGAAAGGAAGAAATGTAAAAAGACAAGAAATCTAGAAATAGAAAGGGAACATACAGGCCATAGACTAGACTATTTTACAGATAAGAAAACTGGACCCAGAGAAATTAACCAATACCTTTATTTATACCTTAGACAGAAAACCAGTAAGATGAAATGGTAATTCAGGAGGGATAAGGATCAAGGAAGACTTTCTGTCTCCAAAGAAGAGTCCATTTAAATCCTCATTTCTCATTTAAGATGCCTCCTTCCTCTGGTACTATGAGCCCATAGCCTTGAAATCATTTTCAATATATCTGAAAGAAAGACCATATTATCCACTGAGACCCATGACTATGATGGCTCACTTGCTGGAGAAAATGTAATGTCGTTGGTTTGAGCAAGAGAAAGAGAAATCTGTCTATCACACTTTTTTATTCTTATAGGAGTTTTGTAGTCCTGAAACCTGGAAGACAGGAAGGATTGCTCATACTAAATTTGAAATGCATCACTATAATAATCTTGATAATACTCCTCCCTATCCCATTTTGGAGATAACAAATAACCCCAAGGTAACTATCCACCTACAGAAATGGACACAGTAGGGTGAAGGCATTCATTAAAAAAAAAAAAAAAAAAAATCACCCAATTATGAATAATTCATGATGAGCTGGCAAACACCAGTTTGCTATGGGTAGCTAGGTTCATCAAGAAACACCCTGATAATGTGTATATAAAGACAAACTCAACTGTTTGAGCAGGACATTTGCCATCAGAGCTTCACTCCAGGAACAAGCTCTCTGGGTCTGGACATCATGTCTGTGCGCTTTTCTTCTGCATCCAGACGGCTTGGCTCCAGCGGGGGAGTAGGTTTTGGGGCTGGAAATGCATGCGGTGTGCCAGGCATTGGAAGTGGCTTTTCTTGCGCTTTTGGGGGCAGCTCATCTGCAGGAGGCTATGGTGGGGGACTGGGCGGGGGAAGTGCTTCTTGCGCTGCCTTCACCGGGAATGAACACGGCCTCCTGTCGGGCAACGAGAAGGTGACCATGCAGAACCTCAATGACCGCTTGGCCTCCTACCTGGAGAATGTGCGAGCACTAGAGGAGGCCAATGCCGATCTGGAGCAGAAGATCAAGGGCTGGTATGAGAAATTCGGGCCTGGTTCTTGCCGTGGTCTTGATCATGATTACAGCAGATACTTCCCAATAATTGATGACCTTAGGAACCAGGTAAGAAGCACAATGTCATGAGGGTTAATACCGCTAAGAATATTTAGCCACACAAGCACCCACAAATGTGTAAGCTGTCACACAGCAGGGCTTTGCTCTCAGCTTCGGATTTCCCGTAGTGCATTATGAATATTAAAAATAATTTCTATTCAAATCCTAATCTTTGAACATGGCTCACCCATAGCTGGTACGAGGTATGCATGTTTATGCTTTTTGTAATATGAAAATATCAAAAACTGCCCACCATCTCCTGCTATATTATTTATAACTTTTTCCATAGAAAGGGTTTTTTTATGGGTGGGGTGAAGGGTAAATGAGGCTATACTTAATTTCCCATTTGCAAAAGAATCATCTTATTATTGGAGACAGAATGCCAGAAAGATTACTATAATTTCATAGGTGACTTTCTTTCAAGGAAATGTGACATTTCCTAACTCCTAACTAACTTTCCATTTATCAGATCATTTCTGCAACTACCAGCAATGCCAATGTTATCCTGCAAAATGATAATGCAAGACTTACGGCTGACGACTTCAGGCTAAAGTAAGCAGAGCTGAAGAGAAACTAAAGAAGTTATTTCAACATTTCCCCTTTAATCTAAGCTATTGGAGGTCACCTCCATTGTTTGACTTTGTTTATTTGCTTTAAACCAAATGCATGTAAGAACGACCAGCTGAATGATATATTTTACTTGGGAAGTTTAGGAACTGACACAAGTGAATGTCAAGATCATATGAAAGAATTTTGAGTGAAAGAAATTCGCTGATTGCATTATGGGCAGTCTAACTGAAGGTTTGAGTGTATTTTAACAGTTTGACCTTGAAACATGGTTGGCGTTTTATGCTGACCCAGAAAGTGATGGGACTAAGGTGATGCAACTGTCAAATATTTTCTAAGGTTTGAAAATGAGCAGGCCCTTCACCAGAGCGTTGATGCGGACGTCAGCGGTTTGCGCAGGGTGCTGGATGAGCTGACTCTCTGCAGAACCGACCTAGAGATCCAGCTGGAAACCCTGAGCGAGGAGCTGGCTTACCTCAAGAAGAATCACGAGGAGGTAGGTGCTCTGTCTCCCCCGATTCCACGATCCGCCTTGCTCCCAAAACTTAAAAACGAATTTCAGGTGACAAGTATAACAATGTCCGCCACCAATATTCCAGAAGGAACTCGTCAGTTTCTCTGCGTGGCTTAGATTGTTTGGAAATGTTTCTATCCATAAGCCTCCAAAGAAACAAGCCTTTTGTAAAAAAGTTTCTAACCTCACGCATCCTGTCGGTCTGGTTCCTCTGAAAATATTCAGCTCCTAACGTGGTCGAACCTAACGTGGTCTTTCAGGAGATGAAGGCGCTGCAGTGCGCGGCCGGAGGGAACGTGAACGTGGAGATGAACGCAGCGCCCGGGGTGGACCTCACGGTCCTGCTGAACAACATGCGGGCAGAGTACGAAGACCTGGCCGAGCAGAACCGCAGGGACGCGGAGGCCTGGTTCAATGAGAAGGTAAAACCCCGCCGGGGCGCGCCTGCGTGGCTCTGGGCGCTGATGCAAGGCCCACAGCACCCTAACACCCCCCACCTCTCCAACCTTCCAGAGCGCTTCCCTGCAGCAGCAGATTTCTGATGACGCTGGTGCAACCACCTCAGCTCGGAATGAGCTCACCGAGATGAAGCGTACTCTTCAAACCCTGGAGATCGAACTCCAGTCCCTCTTGGCAATGGTCAGTAGAAAGTACCAAAAAAGATGGGTTTCAGCAGTGGGGAAGAAATGTAAAGAGC